ATAAATAAAAATAATATATAAAATAAATAATAGTAATGGCTGGTTTATTTCCGGTACTACCTTTAGTTCACTTTCTGGCTAGATTAACATCCCAACTCCTAGTCTCATACCTCAAATACTGCTAATCCAAATGGATGGCTCAGGTCATCCACAGAAGAAATGAGAACTTTCCTGTTGCTTCCATTGAAATCCACACTTGAAAGCAAGTGCAACTTGGAGTCTACCCAGTAGAGACGTTGATTCAACAAATCTGAAAAGTAAAAGTATTGAAACAGAATTATATCTAAGTACACTTGCTTTTCGGTCACCTCTTACTATTGTAGATAACTTGCTGTCCGAGCATCTTCGGAAACTGTGAAAAAGTTATTTATGTAAAACAACTCACAGAGGACAGCAATCGTAATCAAGTTCAAGTGCACCAGAAGAGATTTTTCTCTCCCACATATTTCTTCCCATGTTATTTGGCTCTTTAAATCACCATAGTGTTACATCTTTGATCCTAAGCCTATTTGTGCAGCATGAAGGGACAAATCTGGCCTGAAAAGCCAGTACAAACCAAGCAACTACAGCTGCTTTGAGGTTTTCTAAGGCTGCTTTGAGGTTTTCTTTGGCCCATCACATTTTCTGGGGAGAACTTTCTCTGCACTGATGAGTTTAGCATTTTAGTAGCAAGCCAGGGTCCCAGGCGGTTGCATACAGCTGATAGGCAAGAGGTCACGTTCAAAGCCCTACAGCCTGAGGTCTCTTTATCTCCAGTAATCTAGCAGTTGCCATTTATCATTTATTTGTGGCTTTGATTGTGGTACCAGCTACCTATCTGGTTAAATCTGAGAGAACAAATGGATGTGGCAATTTCTTGCTACCACAGATACTTCCTATGCAGTTCAAGTAAAGGGCAAATTATTTTAGCAGAGCTCTGTGTGTCAGGGTGCATGTATCCACAGATAACATTTTAAAGTCTCATGACTTAGAAAAAAGGGAAAAGAAGCTGTGGGAGTTTGCTACTAATTTGCTCAAAATCACCCTTGCCCAAATTGTTTTTCTTCAGTTTTAGGAGAAGGCACAGAGGGCCTGTATCATTTCCATTGCACCTGTGAAAACTGCTTGAGGGAGGATGACTATTAGTGGGAAAATGACAGAAGGGAAAATTGTTTTTCATTATCTTCCTCTCTTGCACCTTTCCCCGTTCTGTTCCCATCTGCACAATCTGAAGCTGCTTTCCAGATTTTTTTAAAAAGGACAAAGAGAGAGGGAGAGTGAAAGGGAGAGAGATGGTAGGAGATTGATCACCCCCCACCCCCAGTACCATCTAGTTCAGCCTTATGTAAAGGTTTTGAAGGAGCCTTACATGGAACATAGATTGCTGAATCAGCAGGAGGAACTCAGGATAAGCTGCATCAGCAAACATTTATATTACACTGAACTCAGGGACTATATATATAAAAGGGTCAAAAAGCCCATCTGAGACCTGTATAATTGTATTTTTGCCTTGCTTAGTTAGTTTTAAAAACTAAAGATGCTAAAATGATGGAAAGGGTCATTGCTCAGTGTTAGGGCACATGCTGTGCATGCAGAGTCTTCCAGGTTCTGTCCCTGGCACTTCCATCTAGGGCTATCTGAAATTCTGGCCCGTCAAGACAGGCAATATTAAGTTAGATGGATTATTGAGGTCTGAATAAGTATAAAAGCAGTTTCCTGTTCCCAGTAATGTTGGTAAATTACAATGTCTTGATCCTAGGTTTTGCATCTTACCTAGTGTGATGCCATTGGGCCATTCAATGTTGTCTGTCACAAGTATTTGCCGATCCACACCATTCAAGCCAGATTTCTCAATTTTTGCTATGTCCCCCCAGTCAGACCAGTACATGAATCTGTAAGGCAAAACAGAGGAAGGGGATGTTGGCATGCATGTTTACATGTCGTTTGAGACTAAGCACATTTAATTTTAAAAATGTGCAAGTGCTAACTTTGAACTGCTGCTGACTGTTGCTTCTCTGAACAAGCTCAAACTATCCCAGTGATCACTAGATGACTGGATTCTATAGACAGTATTAATTAATTTGATCAAGGACAGCCTATATTCAGTGCCTTGGTTAATCAGAAGGCAGGAAATCTTTGTTGCCCCGCATCCAAATATAATGCTGTAAGTATATGATGTGTCTAAAACATGAGTCTGATCTGTGATCCATATACTAAGGAATGTACACATGCATACAGCATTCTTCACCTAATTTCAGTAGAATAGGAGCAGATTTATTTATTTATTTGACTTCATTGAACAGAATCAGATTGAAATGGGCCAACTGGAATCTTCAACAGCCAAGAACTAGAGAGATGGGAAGAATAGAAAAGTGTAAGTGAATCAGTTCCTTGCTCTAAGCAAGGATCCCCCCAAATTCATAACAATCCATGAATTCAAATTGCTTGGTTAATCACTGATGATGAATCAGTCTCTCATTTTAAAAATCCTATTACCAAATTATGGTTGCATAAGGGAAACTGTGTTAAGTTTTGGCAGCAAATTGCCACTTATTATTGAAGTGCTGGATGTGCTACTGAGCATACATGATTGCACTGTAGGACACCTGCCCAGGACTGCAAGCACCTTGCCAATGAGCAGCAATTTGCTAGCAAAACTTAATATGATTTCCTTTACACAAGCAATAGGATTCTAGCCATCGCATTTTTTAAGGCTAGCAGTCTAAAATCATTGTTTCCCAATGTTTTAATATACTGATCATCTTAGCTAAATAGCCTACACAATAAATACTTTACACTGTATTTTAGATTATGGGAGCTGAAAGGATCAAGGCAAATCAAGGAATATGCTGAAATTATAAAATCAGATGTTATCTCCTTCACACCTACCCTCGTACTGGATCCACCGCAATGGCTCTGGGTTCACTTAAATCAGAGCTGAACAGTGTCCTCCTCTTCTTACCATCAGCTGTGGCTACAGAAATTGTCTTATTTCCTGAATCTGTCCAATAGATGTTCTTGTGAACCCAGTCCATCGCCAGGCCTTCAGGTGAGTTCAGTTGGCTATCTATGAGAACCATCTGCTCAGCTGTGTCACTGGCTTTATCTATGTATGCACTGAAAGAGAGACACAAATTGTCACTATATTTATGCCGGAGGAAACATAGTGATAGTAGTGGAGAAAACTGAAATTGTGAGGTGTAAACACTGCATGAAACTGCTCCACAATAGGAAAATTCTGCAACCACATAAATTCTAAATTTAAATTCTGCAGCAAGCTAAGCCACATTCCAGTTACATTAACCAGGTAATTAGTTGCCCTTTGTACAAATAGCAATTGCAGGAGGTTGAGAGTGCAGAACCCTTATTTCTTTGCAAATCCTGGCTCCCCCTAGCAACACGGTGAGGGAACCTCCACATGGGGACTTGTTCTGTATATGAAGACTCTATAATACAGAATTAGATGTTTCATAGAAAAGCACAGAGTAGGTTCTCTGCTTTAAAAGTTCCCCTAATACTTAGAGTGCAAGCACAACATATACCCAGGCTATGGCAATGAGTACACTCACTCACATATGCAAAGAAAGTTGCCATATAAATATGCATCCTAAAAGGAAGGAGAATGGCAACTTCATATCCTTGCTGTTTTGAGTTGCATGAATCCTGTTGGGTTACAGGCTGCCTAGAGAACTCAGTAGGTGGAGCTCTTCTCCTTCGTAGATACCAAGACTTTATATATTAGAACTGGTACAGTACAGTGTACCGGTACAAGGGTGTACTAAGGTAGCTGAACTGCCTAAGTTCCGCTTTTGCAAAAAAATTGCCAGCAGTCACTTCCTGATTCTACTTTCTCCAGTATCTCACTTGCAGGAGACAGCATCTTCTTTTGCAAAAATGCCAAGGAAGAGCTAGATTGACTTTCCCCATTTCCCCAATCTCCTAATAATGTTTCACAGGCAGTGCTGATAAAAGCAGGTGAAACAGCTTGCCCTTTGTGGAAATAGCCATCCAGCGCTGTCTCCCAAGTTGCAGATAAACACCCAACACCTAGTGCAGCAATAACTCTCAGCATCTAAGTCTATCACAGTTGGCACTAATAGAGAAAATAAACTCTCCACCGTAATAGACACATGGCTCCAGAGCCTGAAAGATATTTGCTGCCAGTAAACTCTTGGAGAAATGCCATCTTAAATTATTCTCAACTATTAATGGCCAGATCCTATCTTCCTCCTTTACACATTTTCCAAAGCTCACCGTTCGTAGAAAAAGCCACCTGCCCCCTCCTTCTGCTTGCTGTTTCTCTTTTTCAAACGTCCCTGACTTTCACTGCATTTCTACCTAGAAGCTTACGTGCAATTAACTAGCCACAGATTAGAGAAACTGTTCTCTCTTTATGAAACTGGTAATTGGTGAAATTTTACTTAAAGAAATATGAAGAAATAAAAGACACCACTAAAAATACAAGTCTAAGAAAAGAAGAATTAATAAATAGAAAGACAAAAACAATATTTACAGCTACACAAACAGTGCACCCTTCCACCAGGACCACTGGATATACTGTATATTCAGTCAATTTTTCACCATTTATGAAGCCGCACTCCCCCTCCAAAACATAGCATGCACTTGGACAGTCCAGTAACATAATTCCCACACCTGTATATCTTCTTGTAGAATAAATCACACCAGTAGATCCTGTTTGTTGCCACCTCGACATCCAAAGCAACCACGTTCTTCAGCATGGGAATGATGCGGGAGTAGTCCCTTTTCACCAAGTCAATCTTGCGCACTTCATGACGGTTTGTGAAAACTAGGTATGGGCTTTTCCCTGTCATGGAACAGAATCCATCAAGTCACTTTTTATTTTATTTTTACAGAGTAGCACAGCTCCTGCATTCTGAATTTCACTTCCGTTGCTTGATCATAAAGACAAGTCTGATCTGGGAGGAAGACAGCGGCTCTGTTGTTCTCTCAAACTGGTGGGCACTGGATGCCCAACATCCTCACCAGTGTTTCAAAGTCTCATTTGGTATAACTGAGTGACTATTCACACACTCTTTCCTTCGAACCTGGCAGAAAGAAAAATCGCTCTCATATTGTTTGGGAGATGCAATACAGAGCTTGGGAAAGTCCCATTTTTGAAATCCCCCAAAACACTCTCCAAAGCTCTGGAGAGAAAGCTTAACCTTTAGAATCTCCGTTGCAATTAAATCTACTTGTTATAGTCCAGGTACATTAGTATGGAGAAGACCCATTGTTATGAATGCTACATTTCTCTATGACCGTGAAAAACCCAGAATGTGTCAAACTATCCATGTCCTACCAAGTTATTGACAAAATCATTGTGAGATGCCCTTTCTATGTAGATTAAGAGTTGTGCGTTGTGTATGTGCCACAAGGCTTGTCAAAAGGCAACTATTAAAAGCAGCTTTAAAGGCTGAATGTAAGATATTCAAACTACACAAGATTTAACTATAGCCAAAATCCCATGCCATCCCAAATACATTAAGAAAGCAGGAAATGGCTTAATGAAACCTAGCTTCTACCACTGTTCAGACATTATGCCTGAACAGAAAGCAGCAACCAGTGTCAGACAAAGGGTCATGCATACCCGTCTCACTCTACTGTCACCAGCATCCAACATGGAACAGGAGAGGGACCTACATGTGTTCTCTTGCATAAAACTAGGATTCGCTACATGAACAGGAGCCTTGTTAGATTAAGGCTCAGGACCATGCAGAGACTTCTCTGTGGGTTGAATTAAGTACACAGAGGTTAATTTTGTTACATTTATATTCTGCCTTTTCTCAGTGAGTTCAAGACAGCACGCATGTCTCTCTACTTCCTTATCACTTTATGCTACCACCAACCCTTGGAAGGGAGGTTAGGCTGAGAGTGCATGACTGGACTCAGGCGAGCCAGTGACTTTCAATGTTTAGAGGGGATTTCAGGCCAGTTCTTTTTAGTCCTCGTCCCAGGACGAGGTAGCCACTATGCCACACCTTTCAAATCTTCCCACTCAATATGGGAAGGTTATGGTGGAACCATGCCCTTCATACACGTTACTATCTTTTGACTAGGTACAGTGGTGCCTCGCAAGATGAACGCTCTGTTTTACGATGAAATTGCATAACGACAAAGTTTTTGCGATCGCAAAAGCGATCACAAAAAGATGTTTCCTGTGGTTTTTTTCGCTTTGCAATGATCGGTTCCCTGCTTCGGGAACCGATTCTCGCAAAACGACGATTTTCCTACAGCTGATTGGCGGTTTCAAAATGGTCGCCGGGTAAAAAAAAAAAGGCCACCCGCTGTTTTCTGGGACGGATGCACGGGCAGCGAAAATGGCCACGCTATGGAGGATCTTTGCTGGATGGTGAGTTTCAAGCCCATAGGAATGCATTAATTGGGTTTTAATGTGTTTCTATGGGCTTTTTAATTTTGGTTTACGATGTTTTCGTTCTACAGCGATTTCGCTGGAACAAATTAACATCGTAATGCGAGCCACCACTTTATTTATCTAATACCTAAGCAGCATTTCTGTTTACCTTATTAAAGAAAAAAAACTATACAAAGAAAAGCTAAAGTTTGTAAGCATCCTTTATGAATTTAACACATTTGCTCTTATGATTCTTAAGCTAACAAGACAACCTCTTTGCAAGGAGAATGCAATTAATTTAAAAGGACATCCATTTTATTACATTTCTCCACAAGTGAACTGTTGTTACCAATGTGTATATTTAGACTTCAAACTGTAAATGAATAAATGCTGCACACACTCATACTATAAAATCTTCTCAGTGGTATAGTTAAGTTTGTACAGTGGTGCCCCGCATAGCGACGATAATCCGTTCCCAAAAAGTCGTTGCTATGCGGGGCAAAAAAGCCCATAGGAACGCATCAAAACACGTTTTATGCATTCTTATGGGCAAAAAACTCACCGTTATGCGGAAATCCTCCATGCGGCCGCCATTTTCGCTGCCCGGTAAGCGAGGAAAGGGCGCAAAAACACAGCGGGCGGCCATTTTCTTTACCCGGCGACCATTTTGGAACCGCTGATCAGCTGTTAAAAAATTGCTTTGCGAAAATTGGTAAACGAAACGCTTACTGATCATCGCAAAGTGATGTTTTACCATTAGAAACATCGCAATGCGATCGCTTTTGCGATCGCAAAAAAGACATCGCTATGTGGATTTGTTGTTAAACAAATCGCTCGTTATGCGGGGCACCACTGTATTGCCTATATACCCACATGAATTGTCAGTGCTGCAGTCTCCCTGGTCCTCACACTTTCTAAGGATCATGCTTTCTAAGGGTTAGGTATAAATGGATTTGAACATAATTCCCTTACCTACTGCTTTACAGTTTTTGGAGAGAGTATCCATCTCGTAGCCCTCATAGCATTCACATTTATAGTCCCCTTTGTAGTTAACGCAGATCTGGCTGCAAGCATCAGGATTCTCACATTCATCTATGTCTGGGGAGGAAAATTTAAAAGCCATCAATAACTTGAAATTGAGCCCTAAGGCAGACAAGGAGTGAGTCTGGGGCAGTTGTAATTATGTGACTCTACTATGAAATACAAAGGGCTGCTGTTTCCATGCAAATTACCTCCACATGTTTTCTTGTCTAGAAGCTTGTATCCTGGAGGACATTCACAGGCATAGCCAATCTTCAAGTCTCTACATATGTGGGAGCAACCGCCATTGTTCAGGGCACATTCATTCACACCTAGGAGAGAGTTGTGGATAATTTAGATTCAATTTGAATCTTCAGCCATTAGACTCCAAACTGTTTTCTCCAAATCTCCCAGAAGTTCAAAATGCCACAAGTCTTCCTGTGTACAGTATCACTAAAAGTAGTGCTATATCAGTGTATACAGTTACATCTCACAGAAACAGACACAAAATCTCTCTTTATTTCCCAAGATGTGAAGATCTGCATATTTTTAAAAAGAGCACCTCTTATCTGAATTTTAGCTTAATTCACACCTCCTTGGCTACTTCTGCAACACTGCTTTTAATGCTGGTTTTTACAGTTTGTTTTAGTCCTCAAAACAAATAGCAGGTTACAGGTTTTTAATGAAAGGCAGTGAACTGTGCCAGTTCTGCAGCCCCAATAAAGACGTTGATAACACATTCCTCTCCTCATGAACTGGACAAAAGGAAGCAGTAAAATGTATCCTGTGTGGATCCACTCTGAGGTCTAGTTCCAAGAGGATTTGTGGTATGAGCCTCAAATGCACACTTTGCTTGCAGTGTGCCTCGGGGAAAGACAGGGCATCTGCCCAGGGAGAGTACTATGTAGGGCTAGCAAAACCTGGGTATGGCATGGATCTCACTTTTTCTGGTTTGTTAGGAGCCATACATTCAGCAATGCCTGCTTCTCTTTCCATTCATTCCCCCATTCTCCAGCGTGTGTGTGTATGTCTGAGAAGTTTCAGACGCCTGGACAGTTCGTGTATATACAATAGTCGCTGTACGAGAGGTCCATAAGACGCTGACAAGAGTCTCACGCTATTCTCCAGCTCTGGGATGCTTGTCAGAGTTTCTATACCCCCCCCCCTCAGATCGTGGATAAATGTATATACCGGGTGGACATTTCTGGACGGTCTAGGGGAATTTTTTTACTGCTACCCAGACCCGCTGTTGCCTACACTAGCCTCTGAAAATGCAAAGCCAAACAAAACAAACTCTCTAGCATTCTGCTTAAGTTTTTAAAGGCCTTTGGAGGGCAGTTTTGGGTGGGCCCATTTCATAGCAAAATCATTTCCAGAAGAAGAAGATGGCAACTTTTCACCTGCATTTTTTCCCCAAACAAACCCTTTTGTCCTCTCCAGCATCTAATAATGGGTTACATTACAGAAGTCTAGAACGTCTCACCTGGACATCAAAGATGAAATATCTAGTACTTTTCATGTATAGCCATACAGCATATTCTACATTACTAGCATGGTTTTAAAAAGATTTATTTCCCAGTGTTGTACACAACGTCTATTGTCCTCCTTGTCACTTTAAGAACCAGTCACTTTCTCCCAACAGTATATGAGCCATTTAATCAGCTTCTTTGAATACTTCCATTAGTTTTTCTATTATATATGGGATCTGATCTCTGTCTGTGGGATGGATGTCAATCCCTTTTTGCTTAATCTTGATGTCAATCCCTTTTTGCTTAATCTTGATTTTTTTAAAAAAAGTTTTTTTCTGTTATAAAATGTGAAAAAAATGCATTTCTTAAAACTGTGAGCAAAACTGAGCTTAAAAGAAAAAAGAAGCAAAACCCATGGAATTTACCCACATCTGACCATCACCAAATACCTCAAACTATTCGAACAAGAATTAAGAGCATTACTCAGTTAAGCAACTCTTTATCATTCATGTCACTCTGAGGAGTGTAATGAAATAAAGCAGAAATATGCAAATGTAGACACTCTGCCACTTAAGTCTTTCTACCCTTGACCTATTGTATGAAAATAGTTTAGATTGTTTGTTTCCTCTACTGGCAGAAGATGAAATGGAAAATCCACAACAATTCTACTCTCTCTGTCTCTCTAATCCTTACTGCCTTGGATGCTGCTATTTAGAAGAGAAGTGATGAAATCTGGAAAATGTAACAGCAAGTGAATGGGGGATTCTGGAAGTCATTGTCCCTAAAATAAATGTTTTAACCCTGTGTGACATTCTGGACAAAAAGGTCACAAAATAAGACTACAGTATTTTGAACAGGAACAATTTTGGAGGTTGGGATAACTGCCCATTTCATGGTGGTATACACAGGTTGACACTCATTATTCAGACTGATGTTGCCTGTGACTCTTCTGTACATTGAATATGAGCCAACCAGGCCATACACATACTCATTCTCAACTCAAGGTTGTTGGAACACAAGAATGGTCTTCTATATTGATTCTTATTCTTGTTTATTGTGAGCCTTTGCAGTGCACCATGCTAAGATCTCTCTCTGCATCTAGGAACATGTATGATTAATTTTTGTAATGTGGCCTATATCCCATTTCTTAAAGGGCAGCAGCAGTCAGAAGCACACTCCAGTTGGAATGCGGCGGGCAGGCGGGAACGAGTCTCTGGGAGTCCCTCCAATGTCTCAAAATATTGTCCTGGTAGGTGCTTTGATCATCAAGGCAAAGCAAGGCATCTCTGGAATCTCTGAAAACCTCTTCCGAAGGAGAAGTGATTGGAACTGATCTCCTTTTCTTTTTGATGGCAAATTAAAATATTCCTTTTGAGCAGAACATTTTAAAATTGACATTTAGAGGTGGTTGACACCCTTTCCTTTTTCTAACTTAATTGACTGTTGTATTTCCTGGTTAAAGGATTCTTTATTTTTTTTTTAACTTTTATTTGTAATTTTATATTTTTTGCATTATAGATGTATTATAGATGTGTGTTTAAAAATGTGTTATATGGTTATCTTCAGATCTATATGGTTATCACTGCCCATCTTCGGTCTAGATGGGTGGGGTATAAATCTAATAAACAAATAAACAAACAAACAAATAAACAAACAAACAAATAAATAGTGATTTATAAATATTAAAAATGAATAAACTCACAAATATATAATCCTCAGATGTAACAGTCATGCCAATCGTCACTGGCAGGCACCTATTAGGTCCTAAGCTTTGAAATAATTCTCAGTATTGCTGGCTTTTGAGAGAAGCCCATGATGGAGAGTGCAGAGGAATACGTTAAGTTTGCTTCAGGACTAGATGCCCTGAACAATCATCAAATTCCTTCAGCTGAAGGGACAGTTCAAAGTTATAATATGAACTACTTTTATATTACTGGTACTTTGTTTCTTGCCACAAAGGGGCACCAATAAGGTAGTTCACAAAAGAAGCCACTGCATTTCTGAGGAAAACGCAATTCAACGTGAAGAAAAGTAAGCCAACCTAATAGGACTTTGTGCAGGAGGATATTCTAAACATGCAGGGGTTACCACAGAAAAGGCCCTGTTCCTAGTGGATGGCAGCACTGTCTGCAGATAGGAAATCACCTGCATCCATATAAACCCAGGAGAAAAATTGCACTTTAAGATAGAAGTGTCCTGATCTGGGCTTGTGAGAGTTTTGTTTTTCACTGGGACTCTGAGGCTCAACAACCTGAGCCAGGCATAACATGTACTAGGTGCAAAAAAGATACAAATACATATGCAGAACAAAATGTCTCTTCTGAACACATACTCAGTCCACCAATTCCTCCTCAGGCCATACAATATTTCATGGAAATGACTCTCTTGTTTTTCCCAGAACCTTTGCCCCAATTGAGTGCAAGATTGGGTGGGGAACCTGTTTTTATTTTAAATCATAGATTCCTAGCTTGGGAGTTGGGATCCCCAAAGGGGGTTGTAAAGTGTTTTATGTGGAGTTGCCATTATTACTTTTAGTTGCAATTATTTTTATATTTATTATATTAAATATACTATGCACAATGCTGTTTTATTTTAATCCTCTTGGTCTAGAGATAGATAATTTTAATTTCAATTGGAATTGCAGGCAACCAAGAGTTCTTAGTTATTTCTGTACCCTTTGGGGCAGATTTTTCTGTTATGCATGCAAATCACTCACTCCTGCGCCCTCCAAAAGAGCCAACCTTGATTGTTTCTCTCTGTTCCTCTGCATCCACCTTCGGAGGACTGACACCAGACCTTTAGATTAGAACATCAGCCCAGTTCAAAGAGGCCTAAATGAGACAAGCATACAGGGCATGCTGGGAATGCTGACTCCCAAGATGGCGGCAGGATTTAAAAGTTGTTGCTGCCACAGCAGTGGTACCTTTCACTCCACCTGAGTCTCCAGCTCTTTCAGATGTGGTGATGGTGGCACGATGAAGGTGAGCGGACCTGGGCAGTAAGATGCCTCCAGGCCCTGCCTGAGTCATGGAGGAGAAAGGCAAGAGGGGCAAAAAAGTGACAGTGAAGAACCAGGGACAGGATGGGGCATGGGAGGGGCCATGGAAGAGGTGTTTATTTGGGCTTGAGGGGGAGGGGCTCTTCTCTCAGGGGGCTTTGGGGGGAGAAGGAAACATGGATGGGAGGTAATTTCCACATTCAAAAAAAGTAAATTAAACTCAGAAGTGTGTTATCTTTTTTTTCTTTCTCAAATTTTATCTGGTACTGGCCTATTTGCAACCCCTCCATAATTATACATTAATATTAATATATTAGGGTAGAATTATATTCTGAAAACTCTATTTTATTGTGTTTTCTTTATCCTATTAAAATGCCTTTTTATGCAAATGTGGTAGTAAGGCCCTTACTGTAAGGGTCACAGGCTACTTGACTATTATAGAAGTGGATCATGATTTAAAAAAAGGCAGGCGAACACTGTTTTAAATCAATGGCAGCTGGAGACCCTTGCTGACCTACCACTAAACACTATGAGATCTATCAGCAGATCCTGATTTGCTCCCAGCCTGGGAAACTCTTCTAATACTGACATGACACAGTTCCAGAAAGAATACTACTGGTAGGTAATTATGAGGCTTCATTTGGATCTAATGAAGTTTCTGAATTGTTATCCAGGACACCCCTAGACAGAACATATGACAGTAGACCAATATAGAGGTTAATCATGCCTATATGACCAGTGTGACAAGGTCCCCCATTTGCCATACAACCAAACTTAATACAAGGCAATCTGGGTGTTTGCAAGTAAAGGTAGAGCATGCTGCAATGGAAATATGAAGACCATTCAACTGCTAAACAAATGGATCATTTACCATAAATACCATATTTTTCGCTCCATAGGTGCACCTGACCATAAGACGCACCTAATTTTAGAGGGAGGAAAACAGGAAAAAAACTTCTATCACACCTGGCTGTCTGGGCGGCGCTGAGACGTCTCCCCCGTGGCCTGGGTGGTGGCAGGAACCATAGCCCAAGTCTTCTATCACACCTGGTTGTCTGGGCGGCGCTGAGACATCTCCCCCGTGGCCTGGGTAGTGGCAGGAACCATAGCCCAAGTAGTAATTGTGGGCTCCCGCTCTTGTTTATCATTACCTGGTTCCTCCCTCACACCCTTGTTTTTGGGGGGAGTGCAGAAGAGACACCTCAGCCAGTCCCTGATGGGTGTCCTGAGAGACAGAAGAGAGAAAGAGAGAGGAGAGGAAGGAAGGGGGAAGTGTGAAGAGGAAGAGCTGCTGCCGTCGTGTGAGCGAAGGAAGGGCTGGCAGAGCGAGCCGTCGTGTGAGTGAAGGAAGGGCTGGCAGAGCGAAAAGAAAGGCGAGGGCAAGAAGAAAGCTGAGACAAACGAGCAGAAGAGAGCTACAGCTTGTTGTGCTCCCCATTTTGAGTCTCCCCTCACATCTCATTCCGCTGGTGGAGGCAGCAGCGCAGGGCTGTGGCAGGAGGCCTTCTGAAATTCAGATCCCGGCCTAGTGAGGGGGATGCGGAGAGATGACAGAAACCCAGAGCGGGGGAGCCAACGGAAGAGGAGGAGTACAGTGGCATGGGCTCTGGGGAGTCTGCACAATTTTTTACAGTATTCATCCCATAAGACGCACACACTTCCCCCCCAAAACTTTTTTTGGGGAAAGTGCGTTTTATGGAGCAAAAAATATGGTACTTCTGCCTGTTTGGGAAAAAATTAGTCCATCCTCATTAGGTCTGATCTGTCCATTCACACAGGCAAGAGTGGAGGAATATATGGCCCTTTATATGTTCTTTGATTCTAGCTCCCATACATCTTAGCACAGCCAGTGGTCAGTGTGGCGATCCCCTCTGAAGCCCCTATTCCCCCAGGCCTTCACAAGGTTCTCGCTCTTCTTCTTTCTTCGCTGCCACCAGGTATTGCTGTTTCAATACCATTTAATCAAGGAGACATGTGTGCTTTTGAAACTTAACTCTTTTATTAGATCAGGGAAGTTAACATATGATTAATATTTGATAAGTAAATCACAGGTTGCTAATCACTTGTATTTGTATCAGTCCTACTATGACTTTAAATCTCTAATAACTCTCTTTACCATTCAACGTTCTTACAGAACTCTATCTCACTCTAAGTTCACTTTTAAGTTTCACACTGTCTCTCACTCACAGAATCTCCCTCATGCTCCATACACCAGCCTTTATATCCCGCCCCTCCCCCCGTGGCACCGCCTTCCGTCCACTCATTGGCTCCTTCTCCACTGCTCAGCTGTGATGGACAGGTGAGGGCAGGGCTGTTCGCTACAGTCAGCAAAGACAAAAGTTCCAGTCCAAGCACAGGAGGGCCACAGTTTATTTTACTTTATTTATTTAGTATCATTTGTGGGCTGCTTTTCTCCCAATGAAGGGACCCAAGGTGGCTCACAATGTTAAACAAGTAAAAATAAAAACACAATAAATTACATCTTAAAAAGCAATTGGGCTTTACTAATAATTAAAAATACATTAAAAATTAAGCAAAGTGACTTAGCTAAAATCCAGCACCTGTGGACTCAGCCATGGTTATTAAGAGGAAGGTCTTCAGCTATCAGTGAAAGGATAAAAGAGAGGGGGCTAATCAAAGCTCTTGAGGGACAGCATTCTACAACCTTGAAGCAGCCACAGAAAAGGCCCTCTCTCGTGTCCTGATCAAATATATGATGGTAGATATGATAGTAGATGTCGCCCTATGCTGTTATGACAAACCTCTTATTATACTAACATGGAAATGGGATGAAAGAGGTACAAATCATGATTACCACGTTGAGGAACAGAGTCTGGAAAAGTTATTTTTTTGGACTACAATGTCCCAGACCCTCTAGCCTGCATGACCAGTGGATAAGCTCTTTCAAAGCACCTTGAAAAATTATTCTGTACAAGACCTCACAACTGACCCCAGAAGATAAGAACTTCTAAGACACTGCAGATGCCAGCTGATAATACAACCATAGAAAACAGCCACCTTTAGAAAATTTAAATGAATGGAATATATCTTAAATCTGTTACACCTTCTTGAAAACAAATTCAAAGGAATCTATGTCAGATTCTGTTGACGCCCAAGAGCATATTCGTCAGCATAACACTTCAGTCACACTGACATCAATGAGAATGGCTTTATTTGATCTTCCTAGAAAAGGATCTTACATCCCTTCTGCTCATTTTTTACACACTTCAGTGTTCAAGGAATGGATTATACTCAATACATGGCTTCTTTCATTAGCTAATGGGTACTCTGCTATTATAAAGTAAACTATCAAGTCCTGTATAACTGAACAATACCCAAACTTTAATACAATTCACCCAATGGCCCAACACTTGTAGTGCTTTGCCTATTGTGCCACAGCATCAGCTTATGTGATACGCTTTCATGGGAAGGTATTATCTCTGATTCATCCACAGATGCTTTTTTCAAATGAACACATATCTGCTGGGGGATATCAAAATGCACTAACTGGAAATTAAACAATAATACATTATGCATGTCAGAGGAGCAAGCAAGTTTCCTGCCTCCTAATAATGTCACAAATAACACAGATGCCTGTGTAAGTGCATGCTGATGTAGATACCTGCTTTGTGAGACCTTATAAGATATGCAAAGGTGTGTGTGCATACCGTGGACCAGGACAGAGATCTGGCATTGGATATGATATTACAGTGGTACAACGCTAGACAATGACCCCGCTGTACGACGAATCTGCAGGATGGTGACTTTTTTCCGATCGCTCTAGCGTTCGCAAAATGATGTTTCCTATGGGGGATTTTCGTTTGACGACGATTAGGTCCGTGCTGCGCAAACCGTTTGTTCGCAAGACGATGATGTTTTCTGGCTCCGCAAAATGGCTGCCCTATGTTTTCCGGACCCATGCTTTGCAGGGCAGCCATTTTAACAGCTGATCAGTGCTCGTAAAATGGCTTCCCCTATGGGCGATCTTCGCTGGACGACGAGGTAATTTCCCCATTGGAACGCATTAAATGAGTTTCAATGCATTCCAATGGGAAACTGTTTTCACTGGACAATGTTTTCGCTCAACAGAAATTTCAGGGGAATGGATTATCGTCATGGTGCGGGGCACCACTGTATCTGCAGGCTGGGGAAGTGAGGTATCTATCTGATTCGCACCAACTCAATCAGTGTTATCACCCACTGGGTGACATGTGAGCTTAGTCTTTCTGTCCATTTCCCAACTCATCTCTGTATGAAGAACTCTGAAATAAATGTCCACCTCCTAACCAAGCACATATATTTTTCTTGCACTTTACAATGACCATCACAACAAATAATTGCCATCAGCAGGAGGCCAGGAGTCTGAGGAGTTTCTTATCCAGTGATGCAATCAAACCTCTTTGCAATCAGTCTGGATTGATTTTCCAGGGCAATGCCACCTTCAGTTAAGGCAACACAAAACCTCCAATTCCAGGAATCACATTCCAGTAGTTGGACACCCAGGAAATGGCAAGAAAACAAGGTGAGCAGAAAAGCTAATAAGGAGTGGCAGTGGGAGCTGGATGGTATGGCTCTGACAGTCCTAAGCACAAGCAAATGGGAGGGGGGTGTTAAAAAAGGAAGTAGAAATAAGAAGAGGAGTGTACTGTACCACATGCTTTTAGAGGCTCATCAGACAGGTCCCTGCAGTCCCTGTGTGAATCGCACACCTTGACTTCCTCTATGCACTCTCCACTCTTACACTGAAACTTGTTGGGACTCTCGCACGCCGCCTCTGTTGCATCAGGCAAGGGAGGGAAAGCAGCTGAAGTTAGATTAGGCACATGAAAATGAAGGCAGGATATCAAGAGAATGTAATTCAGAAGAAATGAGATGGAGTTAAGCCATGGGGTATTTAGTTACAACACACAACACCACTGATGCTGCTAAAGCTGGGGAAGTATGGCCCTGCAGAAGCCTCACTTCTGGAGCACTGTAACAGTTCATTATGACAAGCAATTGGACAGTGGCTCTTCAAAGTGGCCTGGATATTTTCTCTAGCATCCAAAATTCTTTGAGCAATGTTGTTTTTCCAACACCCCACAGGCTGGGATATTTGCCATACCTACCATTAACACAGCCGGCCTCATCACTGTTGTCTGGACAATCATGAACTTTGTTGCACTGCTTGGCTCCATGGATACAGGTCCCATCACCACACTGGAATTCGTCAGGGCTACAGGTCACCAGAGCTTGAAAACAAGGAGATTGTAAGAGAAACTGTGAGCAGTCGTGCATTTGGATGCTCTCTGCAATTCTGAAACATGGTGGAAACTCAACAAGCAACATAATAGTTTAGAATTAATTTGGCTTTGGTTGGCTATTTACTACCTGGTGAGTTAACCCAAATTTATCCCAGCTTTAGGATAAGGATGACTGAGTCTCTGTGTGGCCTTTCTATATCACCACCCTACCAATACGGAAGCTTGAGTGTTTGATTTTAATGATCCAATAAAGGTATCATCTCTTCTACATCTGGATAATGTTGGAAATTGTGATTTTTCTTCCCTGAGGTTTTGCATCACTACCCATCACACTGGCATGGGAGCAGCATGCAAGGAAGGAACTGATGGTGGCCAGTTTTATCTTACACAGCCATCCTGCCAGATAGGTTAGGCTGAAAGATAAATGACAGCTGTGACAAACCTCATGGACGAGCATGGACTGGAATCCATTTCTTCCTAGTCCAAGTCCAATGTCCATTGCACAGGCTTGCTATACAGACTGGGCTAGGTTTTGCTGGTGTCAGCTCAACCTCTTGTGTCCTAACCGCCACCTGTTCCTTTTCATTCTGCATTCTGCTAATTAGCAAAATCATTAGAACTGTAATTTTAAGAAACCGGTCAGTAAGAATCTGAAGGTATCAGAGGCTGTGAGAGAGCGACCTCAACGCTGGATTTCAAAGCTGCAATGACTACATCACCCCTGAACAAACTTATCCAAAAACATTGGTTTAAGTGCTTCCCTCCAGGGGAAATTGCATCCTCATTCTAAATGACAGAAAATCACTACTATTGAGTAGCTGGCGCCATACGACAGGGATGCTAATTCATGTGATCCAAAAGCCTAGTGGCAGAATTGCCTGGCAATTTCACAAACTGTGCCTAAGATCAGGAATTATGTCTCTTCAACATACCCTGGAAAATGGCAAGGAGGGAACAAGCAAGAACCCAGCAGGAACCAGAATTCACAATAACATTACATAGCCCAAGCACCATCCATCATACAGGATGAACACATTGCAGGGACTCAAGATCAGTATACTGAATGATGCTCTGGCCAACCGCATGCATTGCAGAATGCTTCATATTGCTTCTGGCTATTACTAATATTTATCAAAGTCCTCTAAAGTATCAGATATGCAAACCACTACTTGCACTTTCTGTTGGAAAATCCTGTAGATGGGTAGTTTTAACTTCATGCTGCAAATCAACACATCCTTAAAAAAAAAACAAAAAAACCCCACAAACCCAGCAGGTACGAGCCAGCAAAGACTCTGTGGCCCCTCAAAGGGAAGCAAGTTTTGTTTGGAATAAGCTTTTGTAGACTGTGACTTGTGCCAAATAAAACCTCTTAGTCTTTAAGTAGCCATGAAACTCTTTGTTGGTTTGCTGTAGCTGACCACTGATGATCAGGTCTACCCCTCTACAAAGAATCATGTGCATTCCCTCCCTGCCTCGACCCAGGAAGTTATTTATTTATTTACAATATTTTTAGCCGCACCATTGCCAGTGGCTTCTGAGATGCAAAATAAGTGGTGAAGAGCAACAGCTCATATTGCAACATCCAAAGTTGCCTGAATGACTCTTACATTCTCCTTCAAATGCTCTCGTTTGTTTGTTTGTTTAGCTTCTTAAATGCATGAATCTGGGAACTGCTATTTCATAGCTGTTTCAGCCAGGAGCCCAACTATCAAGCCATGGCCCACTTCAGCTGAATTCACTTTAGTCTGCTAAAGTGAATGGAACTGAGCCAACCTAATGGAAAACTGGTCATTTAAATATTCTGAAAATTATCACCTTGGGAGCCAAGTGGCTACTGAGCCAAACCTGTTCTTATGAAAGCCTCTTAGCATTATATTAGCAACCTTATTCCTGTGAAGCTACTTAAGAGGTTCTGAAGACAGAGATGAAACCTGTACTTAGCAATTGAACAAGTTCAGCACCATTAAGAGAATCAATGGAAAACATGAATACAGGAGCTAAATATAGAAATACTATACTGTATACAGGTAGATTGAAAATACCGTACAGAAGTGTGACAGGCTACATGGTAATTTTTCACTGATATCAACACGGAATAGCAATGTTAAAAGAATTAGTGATTCAGCCATCAAGTTCTGTCATTTGCACAAACCCACCCACCAAACTGCTTACTACTTCAGTTGCCAATAGCATAATGCACCATATGGAGACAGTTGGAGCAATTAATCCAAAATTGCACATGGAAGACAGTAGCGCAAATGGGAACTTTTCAGTGTGCACCTGCATGGGGTTGTTTCAAGAGACTTGCTGTGCTAATCAAGCACATCCTAATTTATTCCTTCATTTGCAAGTAGAAGCATTCTATATATTACACTCCATATATTTCAGCTAAGACCATTAAATGCTTCTTGTGTATCCTCAAGGCTATTCTCTGAAGGGCACAAAGCTTTGCCTAAAGCTGAATGTTTCTAGCACACTAGTAACTTGAACAGTGGTTGTTCCTCAATGACCCAAACAAAGACCTCTTTGTGTTTTGCCACTTTTGATCCTTTAGCAGGAAATGTCTGGAAGTAATTTATTTTGATCACCATTGTGTAAAACATTTTACTCTACCACTGAATTCATTTTAAGGGATTTTTTAAAAATCAGAACGTATATACAGGATCAAGAATATCAGCTGCTGAACATAGGTTACATTTTTAAAGGTTCCCCTTGATGCTTTTTAGTCCAGTCGTGTCCGACTCTAGGGGGCGGTGCTCATCCCGTTTTTCAAGCCGTAGAGCCAGCGCTTGTCTGAAGACAGTTTCCATTGTCACATGGCCAGCGTGGCTAGGGAGCGCCGTTTTACCTTCCCACCGAGATGATACCTATTTATCTACTCGCATTTGCATGCGAGGAGCTCGGGGAAAAGGGATGGGAGCTCACTCCATCGCGTGGATCCGATCTTACGACTGCTGGTCTTCTGACTCTGCAGCACAGGCTTCTGCGGTTTAGCCCACAGCGCCACCACGTCCCCTAGGTTAAATTTAGTCATTTAGAAATTAGTCATTTATATATATTTTGTTCAGCTCTCTGTTTTGTTCTGGTCAACTCATTTTTACTCATAGTCACTACTGACAACCTGCCTGAATGCACGCCATCCTTTCAAAACACAATGATAGATGCTGCTTTTGATAGATTGTCTGTAAACTGTTGAAATCCCTCTTAGCTGTAATACACAGAAAAAACAGACGTAGTTTATGTTTTGTTCCAAACAGGGGACAGTGCACAGTAGAACAATTGTAGAAGTCACAACAACTAACTGAGGTTAGTTAACAAGATGCCAATTGTGTACCTGGTCATGTGACCAGGCATGCAACCAGCTCCTTGTTAATTAGTAGCTCATGGTTATGCTACTGAATGCAGAAAAAGAAGGTTGGAGTTTAGCCCAGGCCCACTGGTTGCTGAGAGCTGACTGCGAGTGCTGTTTTTCCATACATGATTATTCTGAGAGAAATTTGGATTTTGCATAATAAAACGAATCACCTTTCAATGCATTCCTTCACAACTGCTATTACTTTCCCCTATACAGCAGTGCCTTGACTTACGAATGCCCCTACTTATATGGCCAGTTCGAGTTATAACTAGCTCCGGCTGAAAATTTTTTGCTTCTACTTGCGACCGGAGCGTCCACTTACGAACAGAAAAAGGCAGGGAAAAAAGGTACGAAATTCAAATTGCTAACTGTAGGTGGTGACAAGGCTGCTTCTTTGTAGCTCTTTCATCCCAGCAGTTAGTGTGTGTCCTCGTTGGAGTTTGGAACTGCCTCCTTCTGCTTCTGAGAGTGTGTGTGTGTATTTGCAGGGAGGCTTCGGGATGCCTTGTAAGGTAAGGTGCCATTTTCTGCTTTTTAAAAACTGATCTGGGTGTTTTTGCAGCGTGGTTTTGAGCTGGAGGGTTATGTTTCTGTGCTGTGATGAGTCTTGGGGGGTTTGTTTGTTTTTTTGGTTCTCCCCCCATTTCCGATGGGTCTTGGGGGGTTTCGTTGCTTTTTGGATCCCCCCCATTTCCAATGGGTCTTGGGGGGTTTGGTTGCCTTTTGGATTCCCCCCCCCCATTTCCAATGGGTCTTGGGGTGGTTCCTTGCTTTTTGGCTTCCCCTCCCCATTTCCAATCTTGCATGATCTGCTTGATTGCTTTTTCTTTGTCTTGTTTGCATTTGCAATGGGTCTTGCACAGTTGATTGATTTATGGTTTGTTTTCTTTGCATTAGGTCTTGCACACTTGATTGCTTTTTCCTTTGTCTTGTTTGCATTTGCAATGGGTCTTGCACGGTTGATTGCTCCCTCCCCCCTTGGCTGGAAGGGATTAATCACGTTTCCGACCAGTCTTGCAGTGATTTTTTGGGGGTGATTTTTTTTCTTTGGCCAGAACTGATTAATTGCATTTCACTGCATTCCGTTGGGAAATGGTGCTTCGATTTATGACCAGTTCGAGTTACAACCATCTTCCTGAACCAATTAAGTTCATAAGTCGAGGCACCACTGCATGTGCTATGTGCCATCAAGTCGGAACTGACTTATAGTGAACCTAATAGGGTTTTCAAGGTAATTGAGATATTTCAGGAGTGGTTTTACCAGGTCCACTCTCCCACTGAGTTTCCATGGCTGAGCAGGGATTTGAACCCTGTTCAACAGAGTCCTAGTCCATCTATCCATTACACCACACTGGGAATTCTACATTATCCCCTATAGAGGGAATAAAACCCAGTGGCCCAATTCAGAGATAAAAATCCTGCTCTAACGAACAAAGGCATGTAATACCATGAACCAACTGTGTATCCATGTGCTCTCTCCTCCCCACCCCTGGTACCTTAACTCAATACTTTCTGGTTTGCTAGTCTCCTATTATGTCCTATTCTATCTGCGTATCAGTATGGTCTTGAGCATTCTCCACAAACCAGGTTTTTAATATTTTTCTTGCAAACAGCATTGAAGTTAACCAGCTGGATATCACAGAGAAGTGTGTTTAAGAAATAGGAAAAAGTCAATTTAAGGCAAACTAGAGAAGGGGAGGGGTCCATGAAGGCAAGCAGTTTATTTCCAGGCCTAGGCCAAAATTCATTAATCTCTTTGCTTCAAAACCATAAAATCCCATATGGTGGACACAGCATTGGATATACCTATAACTTCTTCTGAATACCTTATTTAGAACAGCAGTTCAGAGCAGGTAGAAGTGAAAACTAAACCTGACAGGAAGAATCTACAGTACAAGGGGTCTGAATCCTGAGTTAAATTCTGCAGCTGGTCTCAACAATACACATCTGATCCTTCAAATGTGATTGCTTGGTTTATTTTTCTGACTCATATGCTGTTAAACGATTCATTTTGTATGCAAATTGCAGGAAAGCATTCTAGAGGAAACTAAAAAGATTCTGTCCTCACAACCAAGAGCCGTCCACCCGCCCTAAAGGTTGTCTTTCAGGAACCCTGCATACACGTAGTTGTCATATAAATATTTCATTTCTCATTTCCATGTTCGCAATTATGAATATTTCAGTGAAACATTTTCTCCATTTCCTTCCCTCTCTCTCAGTCCTTGGGTGAATGACCAGCTTATGCTAGTTAGCATCTGAAAAATGGATGAAACATCCCCAAACACTGCAGCAATGTGTGAAAGAGCACAAAGCTCACTGAAGAGAAATCCATTATTCAGTAACTCAGGGGCTTTAACAACTTGACTACTTACAGAAGCAGAACTTCAATTTTATTTTTAAAAGCAGATGGGATTCTCAGGCTGCAGGCAGAACTGTTCTTCAGTACAGAGCGGCAGTGGGGATGCTCTAGCGCTTCAGAAGCCTATTCCCCTCACCCCCCCAAAAAAAAGCCACCACACAGCCACACCACTTCAAATGTTCAAACCAGGGGAGCTAGAAATCTCCTTCTGGTTTCATAAAAACCTCCAAGATCAAAGAATGATCTAGAAACCTCCAAGAGAAGTGTTTCTTGTTTCTGACAGAGCAAAAAAAAAAATTTTGGGGGGTGCCAGTGGGGGAATTCAAGAGAGTTCAGCAACCGTGACAACAGATGGAATCATCTGCTCAGTCCTAACAAAAAATACTGAGTACGTTTTGTGTGGGCAATATGAAGAGAATTAACTAGCCAGTTTGATATTACTAATTACTCTGTCAAGGCCAGAAACATAGCATTGTACCCAACAGGGATGGGGATTCACAACTTGTGACATGCTGTCAAATCCAAAGTCACACCAATGACTTGGACTTGGACCTGACTTGGGGTGGGAGCATTGAATGACTCAGATTCGACGTGTGACTTGGGTGTTGCCATTTGTCCAACTTGCGTTGTCGAGTCCCCATGGGCCTCCCCACCTGCCACCACCCTGGGCCAGCACATGCGCAGAGATAGTGGGGCAACTTCCCTTCCTGGAGCCAGTTCCTGCCTCTGCATCTGCGCTGGCCTATCACCTGGTGGGTGGATGCGTGGGTGGAGGCAGCAGCCAGTTCCTAGAATGAGAGCCAGCCCTATTGCCTCTGAGGGTGGCAGCCGCTGCCTGCCGCCTTCATCACAGCTCTTGTGAATTGCATTTCTACCACCAAATATTAGCTGTCGTGGTCTTAGGTTTCAGTGCTTTTAGCTTGAGATAACCGTTGTTGAAATTCAGAGCATTTAATTACCTTGGATAATTTATAAGACACTATCAGACAAGGACCTAATTCACCAGTGGTAAGTTCTTTGGGATACAATTTTTTTCCTAGGATGAAAAAAACACAGAACAAAGCAGCTTTGGTCTTTTGAGACGCGGACTATTTTGCAACTTATGGTACTTTAGTCTCTAGTTCAATTTTCTAGCCCATGAACAAAACAGCAATGAAAATTAGTTTAGCGCCCTGATGCTCTGCACCTTTGGGAGTAAGCTTCTATTGAACTCAGTGGGAGCGACCTCCAAATAAACATACTGAAGACTGGGCTGCAAGGCTCAATGACCATTCTCAGCTCCCTCCCTCCTATTGTACTGTTCAACACTCTGTGGACACTCACGACAATCTTGCTCATCTGACTTGTCTTTGCAGTCCTCGTCTCCATCACATTTCCAGTTCAGATGGATGCATTCGCCATTGCCACACTGAAACTCGTGAGAGGCACAGGTGCTCATGGTCTGTGGCTTGAGCTTGTGGCCACACTTCTCCATCAGCTCATCAGAATGATCCTCACAATCAGGTTGGTTGTCACAGACCCATATTTGGGGGATACACTGGCTGTTATTGCACTGGAACTCATTGGGGTTGCAAGTGAGGGGTGGGCACTTCCTCTCATCACTGCCATCGCCACAGTCATCGTCACCATCGCAGACAAAGATGGTAGCTATGCAAGTCTTGTTGCTACACTGGAACTCGCTGGAAGAGCAAACTTTAGAGAAAAAAAGAAATGTATGGGTTAGCTGGTAAGAGCTTTCCCTTCCCATTTTTAGTCCTTCCCATTTTCAGTCTCTCTACAAAGAGTCACCCTCCTCTGAAATCTCTTTTTTGTCTCAACATTTCCAGGAGAAACACAGAAATATGCATTTTCAGTCCTTGTACAGCTATAAATCACTTATGACCATATACAGTAGAACCCCCTTAAAAGTCTTGCTTGCATGCTTCCAGTACTTGCAGAGCGTCTAGTCCACATTGATGCTTACTATCCCATAAGGGACCAATGTGACTCATGCCAACCTTATATTTGCAGTGAGTATAGGAATGTAAATAGGATTGTGCGGTATTGAGAGAAGTTTCTACTGAGCTGTGCCCAACGTTGCATGACCCTGTGCTTTTGCAAGCAGGCAAAAATACCTCTGGCTTATTTGCTTTTGATAATTCCATGATGTCAATTCACTGAAATGTATGCCACTTTAATAAACCTTGTTGTCTAGTATGGAAATTCAACTAAAGGAGGAAAACTGCCAGATGGTCCAAAATCTCTTCCAAATGCAAAAGCAGCCAGGTGGCAAATCTAACTGGAGGAGTCCACCAACTGCAGAGCGATGAAACATTAAGATCAAGGCACTGTGCAAAGCTGGAGGAAAAGAACAGCAACGCTGTTGTACATAAAAATAGTAAAACAGTCAGAAAGGAGAGGAAGCAAAATAATAACAACAACAATGAATAATAATGAATATGAACAAAATAATGACGACGACAACAACAACAATGAATAATAATGAATATGATGGGTGGATTGGATGGGTGGGTAGGTATGCAGCAATTCACAACCAGTATGTGCATGTGCATGCCTTTGTGTGTGTGTGTGGGTCAGCAAGTGAAGTGTGTAACACTATCTTGTGGATTTCTTATTTGTGCTTTACTATACTCTGCTCTCACTTTTGTCTCTTCAGGAGTGCTGATTTAATTACCCTCCAAATCTAAGTAGATTCAGAGTTTCACAACTTGTCTTGTTCTGAACACATTAAGAAGGATGCACAGGCCAAATGCTCAGTGAGGTACACAGGGATTTAGCTTCTGAGTTGTGCTGATAAGCCCCTTTGCAACACATCAACAATTTTCTCTGGCCCTCACCATGTGGCATTTACATCCAAATGAGACTTTTCTGCACTATAAAGTTAGGCAGGATTTCCTCTTTCCATGTCTGGGTTCCTGATTTAGAGCTGAACTGGAGGAAGCAGTTCAGATGAAAGCTTCCAGGTGTCCTAGCTATGGGCAATTAACGGTCACTTTGATTACGAAATGAAAATCTGTCTCCCGACCCCATCAAGAGTTGCCGTTGAACACACTTAATTGAGTGTAATTTGCTTGGTTATTAAGGAGGAAAAAACTTGTTTCAAAATCTGAAAAAGTCCGCTGGGAAATGATCACTTACAAATTACACAAAATGAAATCACTGTCTTGGAAAATAGCAGTTTTAATTGATATGGGCCTGGAGTATTTTATCTGAAACAAGACTTTCCTTAGCAATAGCTGAAGAAGATATTACTCCTCCTGCCTCATTCCCATTACTAACGCCATACCGTACTAGTGGCTGACATCTTCCAAATATAGAGAAGAATGATGTGAGGAGTTAAAGGAAAGAGGGTAATTCAAAAGAAGGCTGGCCTACTGGTATCTCTTTATGGCGAGGTAAATTAATAAATAATCTTCAGCAGCATAGTTGCACTTATCGAGCACCCACTGAAAGAACTGAAGGCTAATCACCAAATCATACAGTTGTATTTTTATTGAACACACTTTCTCATTAGGTTACGTAATAGGTCTTGGGGCTACCGTTTTATACTAACAGAGGTGAAGAGATTCTAGCTAAACTAAACAGAGTATCTCATCTTGAGATGGGTTTATGTTGTTTTCTTTTTATTCACTTTGAAGTGAACAAGTGCGGGGGAAAACAGAATTAAAAACTGTGGCATGTGGCAATGGAAGGTCAGGGAGAGGGGAAGTTCCCCCCCCCTTATTGCTTTGTGAGCTCATTGTGATTTTTTTTTTTAAAAAAAGTCAAACACACTCCCTGATTCATAGCTGAGTGTTGCTATTGTGTGTCATGAGGTCACTTCAAGCTTCTGGCAACCCCAACAGTGTTTTTCAGGTATATAAGATGTTCAAGTAGTAGTTTACCATTGTTAGGTCCCAATGAGTTTCCAGGGATTTGAATCCATGTCTCCTAAGTCCTAGTCCAACCCTCTTATCTACTACATTACACTGGCTTTCATTTTAGCAGAATATAGCTGAACAGACCAATGCATCTTCATTAAACATTTTCTTTCACTCTCCTCTGGCGAAATACCCATTTAAATTTGGGGAAAAAAGCCTGAGGTCTTCTTGCCCCCAGCATCTTTTAAAAAAATTTTTTTTTGCGATATCCTGTTTAAACAACATCTCACTATGCTTGAAACTGTCAGTCATTTGTACATTCAAGGGATGAAGCTGCAAGTCAAGCAAGCAAAAAATAATCAGCTATGATTGCAGTCTGAAAACAAGAGTAGTTACAACACCTTTGTGCACAAACTAATCAAGATGGAAGAAACTGAGGTTCAATTTCAGAACCTAGCTACTTAGATATGGTTCCCTAAATTTTTGGACTGGAAATAAGAGGTATTGTGGAATTTGAGCATTCTAGGATAGAGGATATTGATTTGGGGATCACAAGTTCGATTTAGCAAGTACCTATGAAACTGCTGCCAAGTCTCACTCCGATAAACAATTCCACATAGAATACAAGCCAGTCTATAATATATTACCCTATCTCTCATGTTCATTCCAGACTTCTAAAATTTCAGAATGTTATGACCCGGCAGCCATAACAGATCCCACATCCATCTTATATAGTATTTCCTGCCAGTTGGACAGTAACCATCTCCCCCTGTTTAGAAGCATGAACTTCTTCTTAATTGTGACTTGATAAAAATGCAGCTGACCTATTCATCCCACTTAATGGCACACCAGCAGCCTTCATGGATCACTAGCCTCATTCCCCCACTGGATAAATAATTTACAGCAGCATAGTTGTGAACCTTTCTAAAAAGTTCAAACCATTATTGATAAACATGAAAGGTGCAATGACTATCCACTTCTAATGGGGAACTCCAAGTTGCACAGAGGAAACTGCCTAGGTAGCATTTGAAAGGACTACAAATCAACGACTACGCAGGCTCTTATTCCACCCCTCTTCCTGCCCACCTTTTATTTCTTGGCAGGGCTGAAGCAATTAGCCACTTCAACTGCAAATGTATTTTCCTTTTTTAGAGATCTAATGAACATTCTTCTTCCTTTTTTTTTTCATTAGCTGGTCTCCACCCTTCCTTCTGCTTGTATATCTTTTCTCTCTCTCTTGAAATCTGCCAACATGCAAATTGGAGAATTCCTCACATAGGCATGAACCTGACCCTTCAACAGCAGATAACACAAATTAAGAGCATCTCCTCCTCTCCTCTTTGCCTACACATTTACCTAAGTGCTCTCCCATCAAAGCCCATCTCAAGTCATTAATGGATGCCATGCTAAATGATCATAAATGAGAGATGCTGGCTTTGGCACAAGCCATCTGTTTATATTCTTTGATTTTTCTACCTATTAGATTATGAGCTCTGCAATGTGCCAGCAAGGGGAAAGATACAGATTAATTTTTTTAATGTTCCACGATTCAAGAAAAAGTGCTTTAATTGTAAGTGTAGGAGTGATTTTAAAACATGATGCACCTTTAATAGAAATCTCCAGAATTCTGCATAGCAAAGGATTAGACAAAAAGCAAGTAAGTAAAAAACAAAACAAAATAAAACCTATCCTTTCTTTCCCTTCCTTCCTTTGTCCACCACCCTTTGAAGGCAGCTCAAATATCCCTTTTTGCCTCATAGTAGAGAGTGCAGTAAACTGTGCAGAAGTATGACAGGGCTCTCCAACAGTAAGAAACCTTTAAGTAGTTCAGACAGAGTTCAAAATAGATTGTTATTGTTCTGTGCCATCAAATTGGAACCAACTTATAGCAACTGGCCTGTCAAGGATACTTAAGGAGTGGTTTTACCAGTTCCCCAGTTTCATTGCCAAGTGAAGATTTACACCGTGTTCCCCAGAGTCCATCACTCTGTCCACTACACCACATTAGGAATTGCGAAACAGATTACAAAGCAACATAAACTGCCTACAGGTTTTGCGATCCAACTAACAGTTTAACCAAATCAGGCAAAATCCAGTTTAACCAACTGTAGCGAACAGCCCTGCCCTCACCTGTCCGTCACAGCTGAACAGTGGAGAAGGAGCCAATGAGGGGATGGGAGACGGAGCCAAGGGGGGAGGGGGCTGGATATAAAGGCTGGTGTATGGCGTATGAAGGGAGATTCTGGTAGTGAGAGACAGTGTGAAACTTAAAAGTGAACTAAGAGTTAGAGATCTGTAAGAACGCTGAATGGAACAGAGAGTTAACAGAGTTTTAAAGTTAAAGTAGAATTGATTCGAATACAAGTGATTAGCAGCCTGTGATTTACCTATTGAATATGAATCAGATGTTAACTTTGCTGATCTAATAAATGACTTAAGTTTTAAAAGCACACGTGTCTCCATGATTAAATGGTATTAAGGCAGTAATACCTGGTGGCAGCGAAGAAAGAAGAAGAGCGAGAACCTCGTGAAGGCCTGGGGGGAATAGGGGCTTCAGAGGAGATCACCACACCAACTAACTGGTAAACCATTGCCAGCATATATCTATATTATTTAAAGGCATGAACTTTGGCTCAGAAATTATCATAGATATATGTATTTTTGTGAAAATAATTTTTATTCTAACTCGTAGAATTATACAAGCAGTTTCCAAGGTCATAGCTTTTTCAGACAGTAAATCTAATCCAAATACATTTTCCAATCTGCCACTCATAAACCAATTTATCAGTCCATTTAATGCTTTCTTTTTTCAGTACTATGAAAACTCTATGA